AAATTCATCTCGGGAACCTTTACGGTCTCCTTATCGACCCACAAAGCCAACAGTTCGTTCGGACGATGGCCACGTCCACGAACAGAGAGCTCATTTCACCGCTTCGGTTACAGCGCGCTATATAAGCATTCAAGACAATTCGGTGGGAGATATCTTGCCAAAAAGAAATTGTCTTCAGAAAACCCAGTTAACTTCGACACTGGTACCCCAGTTCGCTTCTAAGCACTGGAAATCGACTATATCAGCTCGGGTCGCAACCGATAAAGATTAGTCCCACGTGACCAAAACCCAGTTATCTTAACACTGGTGAACGATCCATTTTCACTTTCAGCTCGGAAGTTAAAACGGTTCGGGAGAATTAACTTAACGCCACATTTGCAAAAACCCAGTTACCTTAACACTGGTACTCTATTCGGCGTCACGGTTCTGAAAGATTAATTTCTCAATGAATAATCCGGATTTGATTCAGAAACATATCAAGACAAACAACAAGTCAAACACTTAAAAAGAACATTCAAGCGGATAAAGCCGTCCAGGCATAAGTTTTTATAAAAAGAAACCTGAAACAAAAAACATACGAGGGAATGCCTTGGGCTCATTCGTCTCTCTCTTCATCTGAAACCTGTACGGCCCCGGAGTTCAAATTTGTGCCCGCCTGATCGATCACTCCAACATCGACCGCATCGCTTTCTATCGACCTATTCCCCAGGCCATCATGAGCAAAGTCGGGAGATACCGGAGGAACCTTCAGACTTTCAAGGAGCTCGGCCCTCAGTCTGGCGTACTCAGCCTCGGCATCCCCATACTCCTCCTTCCATTTGGCAACCTCAAGCTTTTCATCTTTAATCCTTCCCCCGGATTCAAGCGCTTCGATCAGCTCGGCGTTGGCCTTCGCTTGAGAGAAGTATATGTATCGCTCAGAGACTTTGTCGAATTCAGCCAATTTCGCCTCGGTCATCTTGACCTTCTCGACAAACTCCCCGACGATCTTTCGCTCACCAGCCTTCTTCGCCCGGGCCACCTCGGTCTCGCGAAGAGCCTTCTCCTCGACAAGCAGGCGCCTGAGCCTCTCAATTTCTGCCTAGGCCTTCCGACGGACACGAACACTCTCCTCGGCCTCTTTTCGCCTCGCCTCCTGTTCGACAGTAATCAGCGCCTCGGCGGTCCGTGTCGCTGCAACCGCCTCGGCAATCTTTCTCTCGGCTTCAATCCGAGCAGCCTCGAATTACTCTTGGGCCGCTGCATGCTCACGAGCTGCAGAATCGTAAGAATGAACCATATTGTTCATCGAGGAGAAGGCCTGGAAAGCAAATTGATAAATACGTTAAAACATAAAGCAAGGCTACCTTATACGAAAAGGGACTCGAACGCGTACCTTCAAGAAATTGGCCGCGGCCTCACCGTACCGCTCCGCCTCGATCAAGCCCTCTGGAGCGGGAAGTAGCGGCCAGGCGCAGGAAGCGATAAGGTTGGCAGAAGCAACCTTGTCCTCGTAAATTGGCCGAGAAGAGCTGTGAGCTCTCTTCGACTTTTTGCGCCTGTCCCCAGAATGTTCTCCTCGGGGACGTTTCACCTTAGACGTGGCCTGCCCACCAGCAGGCAGACCAACCACCAGTGCATTTCTCACCTCGGGAGCCTGGTTAGCAACATCCCCAATCGGGATACCCTTGGGCACCTCAGGACGAGCTACAGAGACAGTCAAGTCGGCCCCCGACCCCATGGGATCAACTATCACCTCGGGGTCAACGGTCACCTCGGGCGGGTTTAAGGGTCCAAAAGCGGCCTCGATCGCTATCTGTTCTTCTCGCGCCTTCTTCTCGGCGGCTTTCCTTTCCCTCAATGACATTTTTACCCCTTGCATCTCCGCTAAAAAGTTGAGCCTTTGATCTGAAGAGGATGAAGAGGTAGAACAGGACGCACCGTGAAGAACCCTCAACGCTTTTTCAACCCTTTCTTGAGAAAAGTGTTTAATCTAGTGGCACTTCCGAGCAGCCAACTCCTCACGCACGCTGAAAAGGTCCTCGGGAATACGACCCAAGAAGCTCGGGCCACGGTCTGCAAAAAGAAAAAATAAGATATCAGTTAAGGAAGCCAAGTTAACACAAAACAAACAGAAAATCTCGGATGAACTACCAATCTTCCTCCATTTCCCAATCATTTTTCCAAGACAGCCCTCGGGAACGCAGTCTTCGTCGAGAGCAACGAAGAAAAAGTGGTCGGTATACTTCTCATCTTTGCTGGGGAAGCCGCCAATAACTCTTCGCTTCGGGCGAGGAGAAATATAATACCTCTCCATCTCACAGCTCGGCACACGACGAATCTCCAGCAAATTCCTCAGATGATCAAGACCAATGTTATTGTACATCTCGAACCCACGTACTAAGATCCCAACCAGATGTCGAAGGCCTCGGGTCGTGATCTGGGCCATAGCAAGCTTGTAAGACCATAAGTACTCAATGATCGGCCTCGGGATTGGGAACTAGAGGAATCAGAAATAAAAGAATCCTTCGTACAAAGTAAAAAACCCCTCGGGAGGATCATCGGCTATCTCATTGGGGGTCGGCAATCGCAAAACTACCGCCTCGCTGAAGTTAAAACGTGCCTGTAAATCCCGGAGAGAGTCTGAGGTCGACAGAGTAGAACCGGGAGGATCAGGTTTACGAACTTTTCTGGCTCGGGTTTTCTTCTTCTGAGCCATGGCACCTTGAATCGCCAGCTGAAGTAGCCTGGCTCCCTCCTCGGGCAAAACCGGCAGCTCGGGTTCATCCTGCCAATGAGAAACCCCAGCCTCATCTAAAGCCGGAGGACGCGTCCTCCTCCTATTCAAAACCGCTTCGGGATCATCGGGTAGATCCTCGTCCCGAGCCATGTCAGCAACTGTATCTTCCCGAGCCACAAATTGGCTCGGAACCCCTTGACTTCCAGATGACGATTCCGCGTCACCACTTGACTCAGATCGATCCGACAAACTGGCCTCGGGCCCATCCGAGCGACTCCAAACCATTTTTCGTTTATGGACAGGAATATTTCTGCCTCGGGAAGAATCGCTCGAATCAGAAAGGGACATCAATCTGCTCGGGTAAATCGAAAGAACAACCGGAGAAACAGAATTCAGGACGTCGGCAAAATCAACCTAGATCTAAACACGACGGTTCGACGAAAAAGTAAATCGGAAAAAGAAGAAACATAAACTAAATCAAGATCAGAGAAAAGAAGCAAACCTTAGAATTTTTCCTTGCAAATCGCGAAATAAGAGAATGAGCTGGGAACTCAGTATTTATAGAAACTTAGAGCGCGTCGGGTACGCGTACGTACAACGGAACGCTTCACGTCCGCCTTAAATCTCGGGAATCGGCAAAAACGCTTCCGCTTCTCGAGAAAAGAAATTTGACCCTCTCACGCCAGAAGACGAATCGACAAAAGAATTCGAAACGTCCCAGGGAATTCAAATCGACAATTAAAATTGAACGGTCAAAGTATGAGCTACTGTCGAAGTACAAATGGCCTCGGGAGCGCGAGGACAGCTCGGAAAGAGGAAAAATGGCTCGGCCCAATGACATGAAGCTCGTCGCACTTGCTTCTCAAGTCAACAAGCTGGGGGGCTAACTGTTGGGGTCGGATTCTATCCCCTATTAAGACCGAGCCAAACTTCGATGAATATGTAACCAGCTCGGAACGTTCCCTCAATCAGCTCGGAAACTTTCCTCTATTCAGCTCGTAAGCAATTCCCTATCGGCTCGGGAAAGGTCCATCTCACGGCTCGGGAAGTGAGCTAATCGGTTCGGGTATGACTTAGCTAATAAGTTCGAGTACCCGAGCCCCATCCAGACGGGTACCCGAGCCGGTTCGCCATTCATACTCCCGAGCTCGTTCGTAACTCAGCCGTCCGAGCCAGTCCAAGCACCAAGGCATCTGAGCCGTCAAATGGTTCGGATACCCGAGGAAAAACCATCGGCTGCCCGAGGCAAAGACTTGGTAGATATTCTCCTTCAATACCATTTCTAAGCAAGGCACCATTTCCGAAAAAGAAGGATCATTTCCGATAAACCCGGAAATGATAAAGAAGAATCTTGAAGGATCAACTCAAATCAGGAAATCTTCCAAGAAACTCCGAAGAATAAGGAAATTGTCCTAAATCCGCGATATTCTAAGCCGACTTCAAGATAAATGGAAATCTTCCTAGAATATCGCTGGAGAGGCGGTTTACCATCCCTATATATAGAGACTCAAGTCTCTCACAGTGAGGGAGAGGGGAAGATCACTCTAGAATTTACACTACGCAAAGCTCTCACAGCACAAACATCCTTTTCTTTTATGATCAAACTCTTGTACGATCAAAGTCATCTTTTTCTGAATAATATCAAGAACACCATCTTTGGTATCAATTGATTCTGTCGTTCTTTGAGAATTCTCGCAAATCGTATCCCTAAATTAAAACCCTAGACAAATCTCGATTGTGTTAGTTTCGACTTCCACAGTAATATTTGTGAAACCAAATTATTATTTTGATTTATATTGTATATTTTTATTTCTTAAACTATAAAATGATTTGTTTGGTGGAATAAAATTATTGTGTTGCATAAGAGATGTTGTCAATAAATATGTGTTTTTGTTGTATGTAAATATGTGAATTTTATTAAAAAAAAACATTTTGGTATCAGATAATAAAATAGATAGAGTAATTTTTGAAATATAAATGTTTTTTCAATTTTCCAATGTTTTAAATAAATTTCCTAAAGCAATTTCTTTTGTGTTAAATTGGTTTTAAATTTTGAATTTATGTATAAATATTTTATGTAATTTGTGTTTGTAATTTGATATATATATAATTAAGTTTTATGTTTGGGCCACATAAAAATCTATTGGCCCATTTTCGATTCCGTTAATAAATCTGTGATCCAATAAAAAGCTATAGACATGTCAATTGGGCCTAAATATTTCGCTGATCCATTTGATATATCACTGTTTTTTTTTTTTTTTTTTTTTCTTGGACAGATAATTTTCAACCCAACAATCATTGTCGGTGAGATGAAAAGAGATGAAACAACAAACCCAGAAAAATCTCATGCTAATCTTTGATCTGAAAATAGAAAACGTAATACTGCTTAGATCGAGCTTTATCGTTGCTGTTTATCAAGTTTCTACCACAGATTTCGAATTATAGAAACATGTAAGCTTTTGATTGATTCAATTTTAGAGAACTTTTTATTTTTTACAATTCGTCGATTTGATTTCCAGTTTGTGCAATTCTCTGTTTGAATAGATTCATTGGGAGATGACTGTGAAGAACCCAAGCTTCTGAGTAAGTTTCAAACCCAATAAATTTGATTTCAATAATTTTTATACACAAATCCCAAATTGATGTATTGTATTTTTGAAATTTAACAAAGTAATTAAATCTATCTACATAAATCTTTAGAGCCATGTTAATATCTTATCAACATAGATGATGATGTTGCCAAAAGAAGATGATTTAGAAAGATAAGTTGTTCATACGATTATTACTATTGCATAGGATCAAGATATGTGTAATGATGACATAGATTAGAAAGATTATATTTCATAAGTAATAATATGATGAGAATCATATATTTAAAAGCTAACTATTGTTACTATATGCGCAGATTAAGGAAAGAAATCATGCAATCAAGATTGACTGATGATATAGGATCTTAAACCAATTACATAAGGTATATTCTCGAAACATTATGCTATGAAAATTTATATCAATGTCAATGCTAGCTAATTATATACAATATATAATAGTTAGATATATAGCTTAGCTTAACATTTATGATTACAATATAGTTGTTAGAAAACAACTCTTAAATTTAGGTTGGCTGCTAATAAAATTTCATATGGAAATAGAGTAAAATAGAGATTAAATGCAAAAGAAACAAATAGAGTAGACATTAGTTCAAGTCTATTACAAAAGGAGTTTTTCATACCAAAAGGAAATTTTTGAAAAGACAGAGTTAATCTCTGTAGAACAGAGTTAATCTCTGTAGAACAGAGTTCATCCCCTCTGAAATTTTTTTAAAAAAACAACATAAACTAAGAGAAACTGATAATCCTTGCACATCCAATCCCTCCTTCCTTAACATGTTAGTTCTCAGCAACCATCTCCATCATCACATCCTCTTCGTCACTTGATCCATCGTTGAATGATCACCTGCAAAAAAACATATGCTTTATGTTTACCTAGGCTATGAATCTCAACCAAAATATATGACAATTATAAGAGAATTTTTAACTTACAGATAACTTGGAATGTCAAGTTCATAAAAGATTGGATCAATGTATAGACATGAACAACCATATTCACTCATTAAAACATTGTTTCCTATAGAAAAAAAAAGATTCAGTCAATGTAACTAATAAAATTGTAAAGTCAGTTTATAAAACTATAATAAGAACCTACCACAGTAAGAAGATATTCTCCAGAAACGCAAGACTGCAACAATCTTATCATAGTTGTAGTTTATTCCGCTAATTTTCTGAGACCAAGTGTTCACAAAGAACTCACACCACTTTCCCACAGCAACGCATTTTATTGTCTCCCCCCTAGATTAAAAGTTTAATTTCCAAACAAAAAGAATAGTCAATCCAATTTCTTAAAATAAGTTAAGAACAGCCATTGAAATTCTTTTACAGAGGGTAAACTAAACTTACACATTATTTTTAATTATGAAGCAGACATAGCGAGATTCATAGTCTGTTTTCCCTCTCTGACACGCATATGGAAACCTTCCGATGGTGGAAACAGCAGAGATAACTCCCATAGCATCTAAGTAAAAATAACAGAAAAATGGTCATATAAGTCTTCATATAGAATAAATCTTGGTATAAAACATTTAATTTCACAAATTATTACCAGAGACAGAGTTTTTATCATCTTCATGAGCATTTCTGACAGTATCAGACCAAACAAAGTTCCAGTAATTGTTCCAGGACTTAGATCTAACAGGCCACATGGTAGTTTCTCTCATAAACCTAACCTGAAGTGGCAGAGTTGAATATCTGACTTGGTTTGGAGGTATGATGACTTGAAAGTCAGTCATGTAGTACCAAACGTCTTGTTTGAGTCCTGGCTGAAAGTTCCAAAGGTAGTAACCTTGTGGAATTGTTGCGTCCATAAAATTCCCCTATACAAAGGAAACAAACAAATTAGATAAGTAGTTTTTCAACCCTAGAACATGATTTTAAAAAGGTGTAAAACAGAACAATAGAATTAGAAACAAACCTTCTCATCTGCGAGAATCATTGTAGTTAGATCACCATTGAAAGGAGGATTATGATGCCAGATACTCATTATCTTAACATAAACCCTCCACTTTGTAGAATGTCTTCGCAAATCAGAGAGAATGTGCATTTTCTCCATAGTTTCTTAAAGATTTTGTTTTGCTTTCAACTGGGAAGATATCTCTATAAATCTAAAATCTCTCAACGCATATATATAGATATATTGGTTAAGAGACGCAAAGGATTAAAATAAAATGAAAAGGAAACTGAATCGTTAATAGAATATATAAAATATAAAAATTTGAAAAGCCTGATGCGAATCATTGCTAATTGTTACAAAAGTATACAGTATACATTTTTCAAGATACACGCAACGATTTAGATTTGTCTAGATTGTATAAACTGTCAAATATGGAAGTTTCTTTAGTTTTTGTTATTCATGATTGATTTTTTATATAATAGAATATATAAATAAATATATATAAGTAAATATGTACTTAAATAATATAATAATTTTTTTAACAAGATCTAGTTTTTGCTATTTGTTAGTTACAATTATATATGGTACTGATGATAGATAATTCTATGTTTACAGACCAGGCAACATCTTTAAAGAAGGCAAATTTGAAAGCACTGATAAAGCCAGTCCAGATTCTGAAAGCACTGATAAAGGTTAGTGAGGTCTAAATGATTCAACATGTATTTAGATCCACAATTAAATATGCACTTATCGTGATTTGTCAATTGTTTTTCTAAAATGATTTTACTATATTCTATGTTGACATGTATGTTAAATTCTGCAATTGGTTGATAAGATATTAAAGTAATACTACTTGTTTATATGAATTAACAGAATATTTAGATTCTGTATATGATTTTTGAATTAGTAAACTTTTAATTGTTTACCTATTTGTACTTAATATGATGTAAATGTAAATGAAAACTTTTTTAAAACAAAGTTATGCTGATATTAATAATAGAAATTTATGAATTTGAGTTAAAAGAGAATTGAGAGAATAACAGACCAAGTTTGGTAAAATAATCTCTTCAATGGAAGTCGTAGATTGAAGAGATTACTACCAAATTTCCATTTCCATACCAGCTTCTACCTGTTCAGACAACCAATAAGAAATTAGTAAAGTGTAACATGTCACGATAATAATCAGTTTTTATTGGTTGTTACCTCTTAAACCAATTGTCTCTTGCAATGTTTAGCCTTATAGGTTCTGAAAGACTTCCTTAAACACCACATTCAACGTTTCGTTCTGCGGCTTTCCTTCTTTGTCCACTATGAGTATCTTCAGTCCTTTTTTAGAAGTTACCCTTGAGATAGCTACATAGAGTTGGCCATGAGAAAAGCATGGCCTTGGTAAATAGATGCCAACCTTATTCAAAGATTGTCCTTGACTTTTATTAATGGTCATAGCAAAAGCAACTGCTATTGGAAGTTGTCTTCGACGCATTTTAAACGGAAGTTTAGTATCAGATGGAGATATCAATATCCTGGGAAGGAGGACTTTATCTCCGACTCTATCACCTGTAATAATGACAGCCTCAATGACTTTATCACCCATTTGTGTTATTTGCAGTCTAGTGCCATTCATTAGCCCTCCTCTTGGATCTAAATTTCGTAGTAACATCACAGGACAACCAACTTTCAACCTTATACCATGATTTGGCAATCCAGATATCTTTAGACCGTTCAAAAACTCTGATGTCAACACGAGATTATTTGTACCTCCAATATCAGAAGGATCAACAGAATCTGAACTTAGGTATAGTTGTTCATCACCTACAAATAATTTAAAATGTCTTTATAATACATCATATATCTTTAAAAAGCATAAAACATTATGAGTAGTGGAGACTAACCTTCGAGTTGATCAAGCATATAATCGTTGACAATACCCACATCTTCATTGGTAGGACATAAAATAGCCCTTTGTTGGAAAAATACAGGATCGGTTTCATCCTTCAATAACTTAGGATCTCCGAAAACTTCCCTGCTTATTGCCTCAATTGGATTATCAGCGTTTGTGATCAAAAACTCTTTTGGAATTTCTATCATCACTTCTCCATCATTAGGTTGTGCTATCTTACCATCACCAACTGCTAGAATCAACTCTGAAAATTCTTTTATATCCTTAGCCTCAATTGGACTCAAATCCTTTGAAAGTAGCCTCATATTTTTTGTGAGCTTCAGAACTTTGCAATGATTCCAAAGATAAGAAGCATTAAGTGCAGCCATACAAATTTCTGCTCTTGCAGCACCATGTATCACAGGTAGTACCTGTCTGAAATCTCCACCAAAAACAACTACTTTGCCACCAAACGGTTTGTTTCCACCACCTTTAATAATGTCTTTGAAACTCCTATCCATAGATTCAAAACAATGCTTACTCATCATTGGAGCTTCATCCCAAATTATCAAAGATGCTTCTTCTATTAATTTTGCCTGATTTGAACCTTTCTCAATATTACATACAGTGAAGTCGTCTGGATTTATTGGAATACCAAACCGAGAGTGCGCTGTTCTCCCACCAGGTAACAATAGAGAAGCAATGCCGCTGGAAGCAACATTTAGCACAATAGAACCTCTAGATCTTACAGAAGCTGAGAGTGTCGTATATATAAAAGTTTTACCAGTTCCACCAAAGCCATAGACAAAGAAGACACCTCCCTTGTCATTATCAACAGCATCGATGATCTCGAAATAAACACTCTTCTGCTCATCTGTTATTTTCTGCAACGATTCTTCAAGTTTTTCCTTCTGTTCATTGCGATCGTAGTTTTTTTCGTCAAGTATCAAGACATTACTATCATCAATTTCCTCATCAGGTAACTGTGGCATTGTTCTGGAAGCAGTTAGAGATGTTCCATTGCTTCGTAAGATGCTGTTGATTTCTTTTAAATTAAAGCCAACATCTGTTTTTGCTCGTCCATAAGTGTTAGTTCTGTGTCCCGGAAAATATTTAAAAAAACAGTGTTATTTGTAAGACAGAATAATCATGAAATTGTCTACTTAAAATTGCAAAATAACAACTCTTTAAACCAACTAAAGAAACTGAATTATTTGATCAAAAGTTACCTGGTCTTTTAAAGTACTCTCTCCTTTTTCTTTCAATGTCTTCTGATAGAAGTTCCCATGTTTTTTCCCAAACAACTTCTGGTTGAGATAAGCTGGTAGACTGGAGCATTACAACAAACATACAACGCAAGAAGTTACCAGTAGACCAAAAACTGGTTGTCTTTATTGTATCAATATACTCCTGGTCATCGTCTAGCAAACCCAGAGCATAACATGCCTCCTTGAACGATTTGTACACCACGCCATTCACTGTTTTGATGTCTTCGAAACTTTCTGGTCCAGTTTGATGATTTAGAAGGACACTTAAATAATAACTTTCCTCATAAATTAGTGGGACATAATTAATCCTTCGGATTGTTTTCCTTGGTCGCTTCCTCATATTGAAAGTTCTTGTTTTACCATCCCAAGTATAATATTCCGGAATCTGAGTATATGTGAGACCTTTGGCTTTAGGACACCGCTTGTTCAATTCAAACCAAGCAAGAAACATCGAATTCTGTAATTCTGATTTTTTCAAAACTGATTTCACCTCATCATCACCTTTAAAATATAATAGTTGTTTGCCTGGTAGATGGAAGGATAATCTTTGAACAGACGTTGACCTATAATGTATAGGATTTTTCAAGATTCTCCATCCAGCTTCACATGCTGATACATATCTGATACAATGTCATAAAACATGTATTAGTTAGAAATGAGTTAAGCATCTAAACTATTTACCAAAATTTTAAACGATTTTATACCTGCAATTAAAGAAGTCTTGTATTTCATTTTTACTTGTGCCTCCACTGTTTGAACTATCAGACTTCTCTGTAGTAGTTGTAGTCTTTGAAGACTTTTCATTAGGCTCAACAACTACTGAAACTCTATCCATCCCTTTAGTGATATACTTGAATAAGTACTTGATAGAGCCAGTTTGGTTACACCACTCAACATTAATATGAGCTCTGTAGCGAAGTAGCAACTTCTTGTTATAGGGTATAACATATCCGTTGTCACACTTAAATCCATACTTCTCCACAAACAGCTTTGTCTTTCTTCTTCTGTACAAACGAAAACCTTCTTTATCAACCTTAGTATGTTCTCTAAGTTTTTTTGGGAAAAACTTAGAACATTTGCCTTCAAGCATACATGGTGTATTCTGGTTGACGACGCCACATGGTCCATGAATCATCATGTCTTTAACGACCTCATAAAGTTCTGGTTCTTTATTCTTGTCAGGAATTTCCGCAGAAATGATTTTATCAATGTCTTCTGGTTTTGGAAACTTGGAACTTGGATGCATCTATATCAATATATGTGCATGAGGAAGACCTCTTTTCTGGAACTCAATTGTATACATTGCTTCGAGAACAACATGAGATAATAATATTAGTTAAACGACATTTAAAAAAATAGCAGAAACAGATACTTAAATTGTAGACTGTTAACGCAACTATTAAAATAAATCACTTACATGAAACAGTCTTCCCCAATATATGTTTCTTCGTTAAATCATCCATTAGAGAATTCAGCTTCATTTTGAACATTCTGCTTATGATCTCTGGCCTATCATCGGAATTACAATTTCTCTCAGTACAGAATCTTACCAGCTCAGGCCATTTTGGATTGCATGTGAACGTAATGAATAGGTCAGGAAATCCATAATGATTACATGTAGACATTGCATCCATGTACATGTTCTTCATGTATCTTGGCCCACCAACAAAAGTAGTTGGTAGATAAAATGCTTTTCCTTCTTCATTCATATCTGTCTTTCCTTCTGTTGCCGCCTCTTTAACTGAATCATAGTTAGAAGCTCGTAAACTTGATTGATTCAGTTTAATATATTTGAGCCTATTAGCTTCTATGGTGGTATAAGCATCAACCAAGAACTACTGGTACAACCGTTTTGATCTTAGCAGGATACTTTGTTCATTCTTTCTCTCTTGTATACGATACGCATACCATTGACGCAAACTTATGCAATCATTCTCCTCAGTTTCTTCGGGCTTGTTTTTCTTTTTACCATGGTTATTCCCTTTCTTAATGCCTGTCCTATAACCATCTTCACCCTTTGGAAACAACAAAGGGTATTGTAGAGCAAGATAACATGGTTCTATTTCACTGATTCTTTGTAAATACCCAGATTTTTCTTCAATAATAATGTCACGACTTGGCATACCAATGTGAAAATCACCTGGAATCAGCGCTGCGACCTCTGAAGCTGTTGGCACTGCATATGTTCTTCCATCTTTGACACGGTCACTCACTATTTTCATGTGAAAGCTCTGTTCAGGATTGGTATTAAACCTATCACGAGCTTGTCTAAAATGACCAACGTATGGATTAACTTCATTTAGCAGCTTTATTATCGCCTCAATTATTTATTTTCTCAGCTCTGGCTTCTTCTTATATTTCCCAGCAGATTTTCCTTTGCTGAAATATAAATTTAGTTAGCAACGACACTAATACTTACAGAAAAAAACACAAAGTCTGGATACTGTAATTGCTTGTTTTGAGTTAGAAAATGTACCTTAAAATTCATGCTCTGTTTTCAACTTCATTCTCGGTGTCAACTATATATAGCTGACTAAACTTAGAAAATTCACCTTCTCCAGGTTTCAAACTTCCCATCTGGTGGTAATTCTCTCCTTGTATCTGAAACATATTAGGACCCCTTCCCGCTGTAACAGAATTATCACACTTACCCCCAAGAGAAGTAAATGAAAAAATCATGTTATATGCTCTGATGTTCTCTCTAAAGTGTCTACTCATGTCATCATCATTGGTTAGCAAAGCAAATAACAGTTCTGGTTGATTATGGAGGAAAGGCAGTTTCACAGATCCTTGCAAACAACATTGAGTAAAAATTGGTTTGAACTTTCTTATGTCTGTTGATGCGTTCTCCATACCACATAATAGCACCGCAGTAGGAACATGAGTAGACAGGATCTCCATGATCTAGATACTCTATAATAACAGAAAGACAGTTTAGCATAAGTAAAGTTTGTGTAAGAAAATAATTAGAAATAAACCAATGATGTAGTACCTGTGTTTTTGTTCTTTCTGCTAGAAACATTAGGAGTTTTTCTTTCTCCAAAAGCTTTGGTCAAACTTTCATCTAACATTGATAAAAACTTATATCTTTGTTTGACTTCGATTGGGATATCGTCTATGTTTTCATAATCTTCAGATGTTTTTGAATCATTTTCATCTGGACTACTACACTCGTAAACCTGTTCACGTGTTTCCTCCAAATCACCTATCATATTTTTTTCCCCTGATTAGTGGATGCTTTATTAAGTTTAGAAAATATATCATAATTAATGATTTTTACTTACTCATATTAATATATGTTTCTTCCTTTGAATTCAGGATATCATCAGAGTCTTCTTCGATTGTTGTATCATAACTCTTGTGAGATGTTTTTTTCTCCTTTGCCAAAGACTTTGGGAACCTCATAGTGTTTCTTGAATTGATAAGTATAATACCCTTAGCAGCTTCATGAAATAAACATTACTCCATCAGTGTTGATCTATTAATACTTTTTATGTAATAGTTTCATATTATTGAGAGGCATGTATACCTTGTTTGTTATTAACAGATGGAGGACTCCACTTTTTCCCCTTTTTTTCTGGTGGCTTATGTGGATTAAGTGGAGTTTGGTGAACCTCGCTGTGAAGCTGTGATGTATTAATAATGTTCTACACATCTTGAAAAGGTCTTCTCTGTGTCCTTGCTGTTTTTTTGGCTGATCTTACACTCGTATTATAAGTAACTGTAGATGCAAATCATAAACCAGTATGGTTATTTATTAGTTTGCATCATATGTAGATGCTATATTGTTGGAATATAAATGTTTACATACCTTTTGTTTCCTTTTGTATGGCTGCAGAAGAAGAAGGACCAGTTACTGTCTGTAAGGCTTCAGAATCACACTGCTGGGCTGGTATGTTACCTATTCCAGATCTCAATCGATTAAAAATCCCTTTTACTTGAACATCACTCCTATCTTGTTGGTTATGTAGATTTGGATTTATGTTTTGATCATGTAGCTGAGACCTAGAACGCTTTGTGTTAGGTGTCTGCATTACATTGTTATTTTCTTTTACTGTTTCATTTTTTCTTCTCTTCATTCTGAAAAACAAAATAGATTTTTGAGGAAAAATAATTCCAATTATGTCATTTGTCAATGAACATGTTCAATGTTGAAAGAGATTAAAAGACTGACCTTATAGATGTTTCTTTGCTAATGAGGCGAGTAGCTGTAGATTAGGATTGAAGGTGTTAAATGGTTATGTAATGATTATAAAGAAATCGTCTCAGCCTGATTTAGTGTGATAGCATTAAACTGAAAAGATTACAAAATATATTTTCTTTTCCATATTCATAATAAAATCTACATGATTGATTTTTATTTTTATTTTTAGAATCTTGTATATTAATAGGTTAAATATGCCAGTTTGGTCGTGAAAGCAGTTGTTATACTACAACAATGAAATCTTTTAAAACTGATTTATCTATACTGCTATACTCAAGTCCAATTTGTTAACGATCCAGAAGAGGAGATAGATTTTAATAGCTTAAGATCTTTAAAATACTTGCACATATGCCCTTTAAAATATATGTACTTATATATCTCACATATTAATTAAGTTAGCCATTTATAGTATAGATATCGTCAGATTAGTATAGATTCATCTCAGTCTCTCAATGTTTGTTACTAACATGTGTTTTCTTTTATCTGCAGTGTTAGCTACTAAAATGGGGCTTATATATGAAGATTCATCAGTACAAATCACAGGTTAGTATATTTTCTCTTTCTGTTTTGTGATCTTTAGTTTAAGCATAAGTTAGTTTATATTTTGCAAAGAGTTTAGTATAAGGAGAAGCTTAGACTTTATTGCCTGAATTCAAAATAACTGAAAATTAAACACGCACATAGCTAAAGGAAATAACTAAATAAGTTTTGAAACTTGAACAAAAGAAAAAAATAGAAAACTAATTGCTACAGCCAAGCTCCCTACATTATTCCCAGCCGGCACAACTTAATTCTTGCCACCTTCAATCTCTTCCTTCTCAATGTCACCAAGAATGGAAGAGACACATGCCTTTTTAGTAGTAGAACCCTGACCTTCAATGTCCTCAGAAACTGCATCCATACTACGCTTAGATGAAGGAGTGGATGATGTAGGACCTAAAGGGTCAGTGGTTTCACTACTATTGGTCAGAGCAAGTCCTTCCTGTTACAGTAAGAAAATTAGGATAGTCAATATATAATAGATAATTCTTTCATATAACAAAGTCATTAAATTATATAGTTATAAGTATCCATAATTTATTCCCTGACTTGAGTATAACTGATGGTACTCACTATTTAATTGAAACATGATCCAGCCCTTTAGTGATAAACTTGAATAACTTTTTGATAGATTGATTTTGGTTGCACCTACTAACATTACCTGATCAATAGAGAGGTCATTACGTTGGTCAGTCTGCTGGTCAGAATCTTCAATAGTATCTAGATTGTCAGATTCATTACCCAGCCAAACGGTTGAAACCTTGTAGGTTCATCAATTTCATTGATGTTTTCCTTTCCAACAGTCACCAGAAACTGGAAAGTCTTTCCAACCAAATCTCTGATTGGCTGAGGCAAGTTTGTAGGATCCTGAATCTGTTATGATAGATTGAAAAAGTATATAAGAGATTTGAATATTATGGTCTATATACATATTAACAACAAATTTGTTTACCTCATCCCACTTCCCTTCAAGCAAATCCTCTGCAGACACACCGATTATCTCTTGTGCACTTTTATCAAAGATAAGACATTTAGTGTCTCCAGTGCTATCCATTACTCCAACGTTTAAAAGATACCTACATATCAAAGGAACAAGAAAGTAGATTAGATACATAGTTATTATCTGAAAAATGTAGATATATATTAGCAAATCTCAAAGTCCTACCTTGGTATCACCTTAGGAGTGTATTCCTTACATGTTGGACACCAAAACAGTTCTTTCTTACCTTTCTTGACAATCTCATTTTCAACCTTTGGAATCTTATAGGCAGTTTTGCTATACTTGAGACAACTAAAGAAATACCAAGAATAGTCTGTGTCGATATTCATTATGGTATAAATTATGTTGCACTTTCCAGTCTAAACAAAATAATAGATAATTAGTAATATAGACAGGGAAATTCTAGAAAAAAATAATATTATCAAATACTAATACCTCAGAAAAACAAAAGAGTCCAGAGATGGTTTTCCTTGGAAAACGATCATAGTAATCCTTCTTTCTCTGTTCTGCATTCACTTGTTTTGCCTTTGAGTCTTCGATAGTAAGTGGCATAACATCAGGTGGTAAACTATTTTTAACAAATAAAAGAAAAAGAAATCAACTTTAGATAATATAAATAGGATTCACAGTTTTATATTAGCAAAAGAAATGTGAATTTTTAACATCTCACTTGGCCACAAACTCAAGAACAGCAGGGTAGTTAGGATTGATTTCCAATAGAGACATATCAAATGAATTTAAAACAACTCTTTCACCTAAAAACAGCATGATATTAGTATTTTCACATATGTTCTGGTTTCATTTCGATTTATCAAATCATGCATTTAGAATACTTTAACAACATTCTATACCTTTAAATAAGTTGATCTTTGCAAGCCGAAGCAAGCAAATCACTCTCTCAGTCCCTGCATTTTGACATGCATTATACATTGCCTCAGCAAATCTCCCCCAAAGAGTGCATTTCAGCCTTTCATCACTACAATATAACAAAAATTGTGAGAAACTTTTGAGTTTAGATTTATGTAAGATTATATAAAATAAGGTAGATATTGACTAAACTTACTTTGTGTCTCTGAGTTCACACTCAAGTTTCTTTGTGATCTTGTTGTTAACATCATGAATTTTCATTTCATTGAAACTAACAACCTGTCCAAGTACATCTGCAAAATAAGAGAGTAATAAATTATATTTTCATGAAGAAGTTCCTATTATAATAGAAAAAGAAAATATACAATGGAAAGTAAGATAGATATAGTACCAATGAAGATGTTTTCACTCAATACTGCTTCATTCAAAATATCTGGAAAGTTTGCCAGATCCACATAAATGTCATCAGAAACAGCAGGAGTGCGACTTATCACAGTTTTTTTCATCATGGACATCTTGAAACCATGTTTCGTGGCTCGATACTTTCCTGTTGATTTGGTTAGTGTAAAATGCTCGATAATACGCCATTCTCCAGAAACTATGAACCTTTGGAGTTTGCTCACTTGTGGCTTCTTAACAGTAGCATGAATCAAAGTACCCTGGCAACAGATAAAAAGAACTCATGTTAATCATCCATTGACATTGATAATTGATAAACGTTTATTTGATTTGAAAATGATAGTTCTTTTACTTACAGATGTATCAGCAAGAACCATTTCAACTGTTTTTCCTGTGAATTGAGTGTATTGTGTCCACGAATGCACAATCTTAACCTGAATTTTCCAATGTGTTTTGAAGGGCTTAATTTCAGCAAGAGGGGTGAATGCTTGCACAGCTGCCATTTTCTTAGAGAAATAGTGAAGTGGTAGTGGTAAAGCCTTGAAAGGTGAGTTATTTAGAATGCAGGTAACTATATTTATAGTAATCTTATGGAGCCTTTAGTTTTATTAGGTTTTAGAGAATATAGGCCGTATAAGATCATTTGGGATTAGGATCTTTAAGGTATATGCTTGATTTAGTTAGATTTCGTTGCATATAATTTTCGATTTAAATATTTGGTATATCAATATCGAACTGAATATAGATATTGAAGAGATTATGTGTAGATTATTATACCAACTAATAAGGGAAATCTAATAAGTTAGAATACTGTATCTTTCAATATAGGGAAACAGGAATTAATTAGTTTTGAATTTAATTTGCCGTGTAAAGGGATATTTTTTAGAATGAATTAATAGTTTGCGTTTATATGGTAAGATTTTTGCGAGATTTGAGTGTAATTATTAAAAAAATTAATAAGTTAGAATATTGTATCTTTCAATATAGGGAAATAGGAATTAATTAGTTTTGCATTTAATTTGCCGTGTAAAGGGATATTTTTTAAAATGAATTAATAGTTTGCGTTTATATGGTAAGATTTTTGCGAGATTTGAGTGTAATTATTAAAAAAATTAATAAGTTAGAATACTGTATCTTTCAATATAGGGAAATAGGAATTAATTAGTTTTGCATTTAATTTGCCGTGTAAAGGGATATTTTTAAATTGGCATTAATAGTTTGCGTTTATATGGTAAGATTTTTGCGAGATTTGAGTGTAATTATTCAAAAAATTAATTTGTTAGAATACTGTATCTTTCAATATAGGGAAATAGTTATTAATTAATTAGTTTTGCATTTAATTTGCCGTGTAAAAGGATATTTTTAAATTGGCATTAATAGTTTGCGTTTATATGGTAAGATTTTTGCGAG